CTTCAACATACGCACCCTATGTCAAATCGGTAAACAGGCTTCTTTGGCTAGAACCCTAGAATCTCGTACCATTGATGTATGCTATGCTTCCGAGACACGCATACAGGATCCTAGTATGGTCATTCACTTGACCTCACCTCGGCAAAACGGAGAGTCAACGAGATACACCCTCCGTGTATCTGGTGACCCGATGGCCAGTTCTCGTGGACTGGCAGGTGTAGGTATAGCATTAAGCATGAGGACGGAACAAGCACTGTTGGAGTGCGTCCCTGTTAACAGTCGTTTATGTGCTGTTCGGCTAAACGGCTCCGTAAGAACTCCAAAGGATAGGGACACACGTCGTTGCCTTTTTGTCGTTTCTGCCTACGCTCCCACTGACTGCAGCTCAGATGAAAAGAAAGATGAATTTTACAGAAAGCTTTCTGAAATTCTTCAGAAAGCTAAACGCTCAGGCATAGTACTCGTAGGGGGTGACTTTAATGCCCAGATAGGTAGTTTAAACTAGACAGAAAGACATTAAGATGGGTATTTTAGTATTCTGGCACAACGAACAGATAATGGTGATCGTCTGCTGCAACTGTGCTTAGACAATCGTTTAATTTTTGCAAACACAAATTTTAAGCATAAGGAGAGACATCGTCCAACATGGCGACCCCCTACACAAAACCAACGATGAACTCAAATAGACCATATTGCCATCAGTCATCGTTGGAGAGGGTCGGTAGAAGATTGTCGCTCATTCTGGAGTACCTGCTTGGACTCCGACCATGCCCTAATACGGGCACGCATCTGCTTGCGCCTCACTAGACGCAAAAAAGCCACAGTGGAAAGACCCATTAGAACTGAATTGAGTAGTGAGAAAACCAAAATAGGTTCCAGGAACAGCTGAGGTCACAATTAGGTAGTTCTGAAAACGAGGTTGACCCAGATGTTGCTTGGAAAGCTATACAAACAGCTGTAGAAACAGCAGTGACATCTATCAGCGATTTAAACCACACGGTTACAAAGAACCAATGGATTTCTTCAGGGTCTATTGCACTGACGGACTCTCGTAAACTCATCCCATCAGGCTCTGAACACGATGACGAGCGACAAAAAAATCAGATCTAGGTTAACCAAAAGTCTAAGGAACGAACGTGAGCAGTAGTGTGCTACAAAAGCAAAAGAGATGGAAAAGGCGGCGGCTATAGTGAACACAAGACAGCTCTACAGACTAATAAAAGAAACTGGAATCAATAAGTCAAGTATAAGTCAGACTATTTCGGAAAAAGAAGACAACCTCATCTGCTCTCAGTCCAGACGTTTAGAACGATGGGCGGAACATTTTAGAGAACAGTTCAGCTGGCCTTCAGCTACTCTACAACTACCCTCCATTCCCAGACAATGTGGATGGAACATGCAAAGTAGGTCCCCCAAATCTAGCAGAAGTTCAAAAGGCTATGGCTAATCTGAAACGAGGAAGAGCAGCTGGTTCAGATGGATCGGCTCCAGAGGTCTTTAAGGATTACCGATTAGGTTGACTAATATTTTAGCTAAAATCTGGGAGTTGGACGTAATCACATCTGACTGGTCACAATCACTTATCGTCCCAATATATAAGAGAGGGTCAAAATCATCCTGTGATAGCCAAAGAGGGATTAGTTTAACTAATATAGTATCTAAAATACTAGCCTAGATAATTATCGGACGCCTAACTAAGACTCGTGAACTGCGAACACGAGAGAATCAAGCTGGCTTCAGACCTGATCATGGTTGCACCCCACACATATTCACCATTCATCAGGTTCTAGAACACAGGCATACTTATCGGCGTCCGACAATGGTGGTCTTTCTTGACTTAAAAGCAGCATTTGACTCGGTAGACCGCGAGGTTCTGTGACAGTGTCTGTCATTGAAAGGCGTACCCCAGAAGTACATAAACCTTGTGAAGGCTCTTTACTCGAACACTACCAGTCGAGTCAGAGCTTATGGAGAACTGTCATCTGCTTTTGCAACCTCGAGTGGTGTTCTTCAAGGCTGTCCACTTTCTCCATTTTTGTTTAACTTCATCATAGACCTATTGATGGAAATAACATACTCATCGACTGAATTCTCGGGTATTGATCTCCATCCGGGAGGTCCACTTAGAATACTTAGAATACGAAAATGATATAGTCCTGTTTGGTGAAGACGCTGATAAAATGCAGAGTCTTTTGGTAGCACTAAGCAACAATGCCAGAATGTTTGGAATGAGCTTCTCTCCCTCTAAATGCAAGTTGTTGCTTCAGCACTGGTCTGCGTTAACACCTAAACTAAGGATAGGGAGTGAAGTAGTCGAACGCGTTGACAAGTTCACTTATCTTGGAAGTCTGATCAGCACTAATGGGTTGGTGTCTGACGAAATCTCAGCACGGATTTAAAAAGCTCGCTTGGCTTTCGCCAACTTACGTCACCTATGGCGAAGGCGAGATATTCGTCTATCAATGAAAGGACGAGCATACTGCGCGGCAGTCCGTTCTGTTTTAATTTACGGCAGCGAAACATGGCCATTAAGAGTAGAAGACACTCGTAAGCTATTAGTATTTGACCACAGATGTCTAAGAAATATTGCTGGCGTCTGCTGGGATCACCGGGTAAGTAATAGTGAGGTTCGACGCAGGGTATTAGAGAATGATGGTAAATCAGTTGATGAGGTTGTGAATCTTCATCGACTGAAATGATTGAGCCACGTGTTACGTATGACCGAACACCGATTACCACGACGTGCAATGCTAACCGGTGTTCGGGATCGTTGGAAGAAAGTTAGGGGCGGCCAAACCAAAATGTGGCATCAGTGCTTGAAGTCACTAACTTCTAGTCTGCTCCATGTTGGTAGGTGCAGACTACTTGGTTCGGGTCCGTGCGACTATTGTAAGCAGTAGTTGGAGACTGGGTAACATGACCCAGAGTCGATCACAATGGCGTCGGTGTATACACTCTGTCTTCCCTTAAGCTAAGAGATTAAAATCGCTTCATATCTTTCTACGAACTAATTATTTCTTCCTGTACTATATCCTTATTGCAACCTTTCTTTTATATATTACCACTTCTGAATTAACTGCTTTTATCAATTTGGTGTCCATCTTGTTGTGTTAATGAGGTATGGCAACTTGGACTGATGCATATATGTGCCTGGTCCTACGTTGTAGCTGACCGACTGACTGATAGCAAGCACAGGTGGATTATTCTAGCTGCTGGACAGATCAATTTATTTATTCTTCTAGAGCCATATTTTGACCATGTCAATTATTCACTTATTGACCTTGAATGTTTTCATGGGCGTATGTGTGTGCACTGCTTAGCCTACCCATCACATGCCTGTAGCTTATTGTTTTCTGACTATAAATATTGAGTCACGCATTATCAAGACGAGTTGGCTCACTCGCCTTCACGTCGCCTCTCTTTTCAGTTTTCCAACGACATTATCCGCTCTCTCCTTTTCGCTTCTCTGATCGCCTGTCCGGATCAGTAAGTGTATGAAATATACGTACTCAAAATTCATTCTCCATTATTTTCTAACGTGAAGTCAATAATTATGTACGACGGTAGCTAGGATGTGTATTTCAATAACAGCATCAGTTGAAACAAGTATATATAGCATAAGCCTATAAAGCGATCACCCTGAGCAACTATGCTAGTGAGCATAGATAGTAGGCTAAAACAGGGATAAAGATGGTCAGATAAAGGTGCATCAGGCCATGGGATTACCAATTATTTTTCAAGCCGTGTAGAGATATTTGGAATTTCAGTGGTGCTCATAAGATAAACATAGTTTACAATTATAGAGATCAGAAGATATCAAAATATGTCGTATTGGTGTAGATCTGTTAACTTATAATTCAAGATTTACGGTTTCGTTCTCTCCTTTCAAACGATATATTCAAGAACTAGCTAATAACTACTATCCTTTGCACTCGTTTAGTTTTATTTTTTCCTCTCTTGTCGTGCTGATACGAAGTGTAGCAATTTGAATCAAGACACGTTTTTGCCTGATTTCACGCTGTTTGGGTGGGACTGTAACCACTAAAATACATAATTTATCCTGGAGAAAAATTCAAATATTGTATAGACAAGAAACAGTATATATATCATTTAACGACCAGAATCTTAATAACGTTTAGAGCTACCTCAAGTATCACAAATATTTTTTACAGTTCAGTTAGCATTATTCAGATTAGTTATAACAACTTTTAAAATTTACAGGATGTATCGTGAGATGAAATTACTGTCGAAAATTAGAAAACCACCAGGAAATTACAGTTGACAGGCTATTCTTCTGACAGTAGTGATTATTTATTGTGATGAATTTCAAGACGACAGATGCTACAGAAAAGAAAAACGAACTGTATTTTCGCGAACTCACAGATATATGGACATAGGATACATTTCCACTTCCTAAAGTGCCTGATTAGCGTATCCCTAATATGAAAGCTTTTGAGAGTTACCTCGTATAGAGGTCCATAGGTAGATTATATTGACATACTTTTAGTTTCTATAATAAAAATACTTAAAATAATATCGAAACTGAGTCGATAGCCACAACTGATGTGTATTAGCTTAAATGTTTTCTCCTCACAACTAGTTTTCAACCTAACTCATACAGAAACAATGGGGTTAGTCAACTACTATGCGTACTAACCAAATATCCTACTCAAATGAGGAGGTTCTCACTATAATAAACAAAAAAAGTGTATTGCTTTCTTAACCATAAAAGATAAGCATGATAAGAACTTTAAAAAGCTGTGACTCACTATCGTGGTAAAGACTTCCGGTCATCGCGTACGCATACAGATATTAAAGTTGCAAAACCCAAGTTTCATCTAGTTACCAAGACCAGTATATTATATATATATATATATATATATACATATATATATATATATATATATATATATATATATATATATATATATATATATATATATATATATATATATATATATATATAAACGATCATTACAATTAAAAAGGTAGTAGCTTACTTTTTAATAAATTTATATATGGAAATAAAGTATATGAATGCTGCTAATAGTATTGTTGAAATGAAAATCGATCGTGATATATTAGGGTTTCCTTTATTGTTGCGTTTATTTTCCCCAAAACGCAGAGAACGTCTATAAATTAAAGATTAGAGAAGGATAAATTATAGGATGTTACCTAAATATTTATTACTGTGAGATGTCTAGATGTAACTGATGATTAAATATATCTAACTCTGAGTTCAAAAGGAAATTACAAATACACTGAACTTATTCATTACTTGCTGCTTGAACTTAATATGCTATGGGATAGGCTTACAGAAAATAATAACAATAGTTGTTGCTAACAGCTTACTTATAAAATCATTGAGATAAACTTAGACCTTAGGCACGATTCAGTTTAAAACGATGGGAACTATCATAATAACTAAACATGAAAGCTGCAGATAATGGAATAGAGTTCATTTACATTTGAGTTACACTAGATCTTTATTCTGATTAATAATTACAAAGATGACATCAACATTGTTCACATAAACAATAAAAACAATATTTATAACAGTTGAATTTACGAGTCGATGTGATTGTGATTGACTCTGGGTCATGTTACCCACTCTCCAACTACTGCTTACAATAGTCGCACGGACCCGAACCAAGTAGTCTGCACCTACCAACATGGAGCAGACTAGAAGTTAGTGACTTCAAGCACTGATGCCACATTTTGGTTTGGCCGCCCCTACCTTTCTTCCAGCCATCTCCAACACCGGTAAGCATTGCACGTCGTGGTAATCGGTATTCAGGCATATGTAGCACGTGGCGCACGCGTTTCAGTCGATGAAGATCCACAGCCTCATCAACTGGCTTACCATCATTCTATAATACCCGGTGTTTAACCTCACTATTACTTACCCAGTGATCCCAGCAGATGCTGGCAATATTTCTAAGGCATCTGTGGTCAAATACTAACAAATTACGAGTATCTGCCACTCTTAAAGGCCATATTTCGCTACCGTAAGTCAAAACACAACGGACTGCCACGTAGTATACTTGACTTTTTATTGGTAGACAGATATCTTGCCTTCGACATAGGTTTATGTACTTCTGGGGTACGCCTTTCAATGACAGACACTGCCACAGAACCTCGCGGTCTACCGAGTCAAATGCTGCTTTTAAGTCAAGAAAGACCACCATTGTCGGACGCCGATAAGTATGCCTGTGTTCTAGAACCTGATGAATGGTGAATATGTGTGGGGTGCAACCATGACCAGGTCTGAAGCCAGCTTGATTCTCTCGTGTTTGCAGTTCACGAGTCTTAGGCGTCCGATAATTATCTAGGCTAGTATTTTAGATACTATATTAGTTAAACTAATCCCTCTTTGGTTATCACAGGAGGATTTTTACCCCTTCTTAAATGTTGGGAAAATCAGTGATTGCGACCAGTCCTGAAGCAACAATTTGCATTTAGATGGAAGAAGTGCATCTCAAATATTCACGAGTCGATACAAGCTAGACCACCATTGGAAACCTGGAAACACTAGACTGCTGTTTCAACCTAGTGTGGGACTCCTCAGCGGTGCATATCCACGCTCCCACACGCGTGAGTTGAGCCCAAGACATTCTGTCTCTAGCGCAAACGCTTAACCTTTGGATTACTGAGCCGGCATTCAATGACGTTAATGTCTAACTTCATTCTATCCATGATCTTGCGCTAACCTTCATTCATTGTCTGGGGCGGACAACTGTCCCACACCCAATAAGGATTGGACGCCGGTTCAGTGGTCTAGGGGTTAAGACTGTTGTTAGGTATGCTGAGGAATATGCCGATAAGTGTCGGCATATTCCTCAGCATACCTAACACCTCCCCCTCTTTTTCGAGGATCCGGAGTCGATATCCATGTCACTGGATCGATCGATATAAACGCTGCTTAACAAAACCTGCAGTCCCACACGTTACAACAATTGGCGACGGGGTAGAGAAAATTTTGAACCCTCTAATTGGACGAGATTCAGCCTAATTATTTCGGCCAATCAGCATTCAGATTAATTATCGGTGTTCTTGGAAGTCATTGGTTGTTAATTGATCACAGTATTACCCTGCTGATTCAGAAAATGACTATCCTTCCCGATCAATTGCAGCTACTACTCGATCGCCAGCAGCAGCGTTTCAGAAAGAGCCAGTTGAATGTTTTGGACAATTTACGCACGCGACTGCTAAATCTTCCATGTTTCGGAGATGTGAAAGAAATTGATGAATTAATTTCCCACTTGCATACTGAACTCGAAAATGACTGCAGGACGTATGAATATGAAAACAAAAGCCTCTATGAATCCCTGATGAGCAGTAACGCAAACGAGGCAGTCGCCCATGATCCATCCAGCGATTCAGAAATGTCCAATTCAGAAGCATGCCCTGCCGTGGGTTCAAATCCCACTGTGCCCGAAACATGTGTTAGGTATGCTGAGGAATATGCCGATAATTATCGTGTCATGTCGAATGGTGTCCTTGGACGATAAATGTATATTTCCTATTGGTCGATATTTGCTTTACTTGTTTAATATCGTGTAAATGTTGTTTCTATTTTTATGGTACGATGTGGTCTGCTTGGTTAGTATATAAACAGGATGTGTTTGAAATATAATGATTCGTATCACAGAGGCTGTGACTTGCGTTCTGGATTCAACTGGCTGGGATAGACAGCGAAGCAGGGTCAATCGGGACTCTAGGTCGTTCATTACGTTTACGTCACACCAAATCGATCGATAAATACGCTGCTTCATAACCTACAGTCACTTATTACAACAACTGCGCAGGAGGCTGAAGGTCCTGAGTTCGAGTCCCACGTGTGGGATCGTGAATGCGCACCGCCATGGAGTCCCGTTGTAGGTTGAAACAACCGTCCAGTGTTTCCAGGTTTTCAATGGTAGTCTAGCTTAGATCGACACATAAATTCAACTGTTAAAAACACTACAAGCTCCACAACTCCCCTTACTGATAATAATTATATTGATTTTTGTACTCAAACCTTTCATATGTTCAAAGTTGTTACCTATTAATAAATGTATGTGGTTCGGAAAAAAGATCATAACGCCGATAACACAACATGAAAGTATATGAATATCAATCAGTGACGCCTACAATTTCCACCACCGACGGTTCCATTTGTCAGATATTTGAATCTGAATACGCGAAGAACGGAACTAACACGTCAAAATCCTTCCACAAAAAGGCCGTGCGCGACCGGCCTCAAGCAGTTGTCCCTTGGGCTCTGCGGTCACGCTCCCAGGTCGTCAAGACCAACACTAATGCAATTTCCTTTTCAGGTTCCTCAAGAAATACCCTTCCACGGTGTGGGCAGCCGGGAAGTGACATCAGCCCTCATACCCGTAACAGCACACGAGACCAAGTTGACCACATTCAAATCCTTCCTACACCTCTTAATACCTCTCTTATCTCCATGACTAACCCTCCTCATGTCTCTTTATCACATCGCACCGCTAGGGCAAACGATTCGAGTACGTGGAACTCGATTCCTGGTCTCCTGAAACCACGCTCTAAACTACACGTAGGAGCTTTTAACGTACGAACACTGTGCCAAATAGGACAGCAGGCTTCCTTAGCTAGGACTTTAGAATCTCGCGCCATCGATGTGTGCTGCGTCTCCGAAACGCGCATACAAGATCCGAGTAGCGTCATTCATTTGACTTCACCATGCCAAAATAAAGAACCGACCCGATTTACGCTTCGTGTATCTGGAAGCCCTGATTCTGCTTCCCGTGGACTCGCCGGCGTAGGCATAGCACTGAGTCCTAGGGCAGAACTAGCTCTCTTAGAGTGGATCCCAGTAAACAGCCGTTTGTGCGCTGTCCGACTGAACGGAACAATAAGAATCCTGAAAGATAGGGACACCCGTCGTTGCCTCTTCGTCGTTTCTGCCTATTCTCCCACTGACTGCAGCTCAGATAATGTAAAAGATGAGTTTTACAGAAAGCTTTCCGACCTTCTCCGAAAAGCTAGGCGCTCGGATGTAGTAATAGTGGCCGGTGACTTTAATGCTCAAGTAGGTAAACTAAGCGATAGGGAAAGACACCTAGGTGGATCTTATAGCATCATGGCTCAAAGAACAGATAATGGCGACCGTCTGTTGCAGCTATGCTCAGATAACCGCCTGTTCCTTGCAAATACTAACTTTAAGCATAAGGAAAAACATCTTTTAACATGGCGACCCCCTAATTCGTCCCAACGTTGGACGCAACTAGATCACATCGCTATCAGCCACCGATGGAGGGGCTCGATAGAAGACTGTCGCTCATTCTGGAGCACATGCTTAGATTCAGATCACGCTTTAGTACGAGCGCGTATCTGTCTGCGTCTTACTGGACGTAGGAAAGATGCTGCAAGTAAACCTCTTAGGTGCCTACTTAATGATAGCCAAGCTAAGAGTATATTTCAGGAAAAACTAGAAAAACAGTTAAGCGGCCATGTATGTGATGCCCACACCGAGGCAGCATGGAATGATATCCGAAAAGCTGTGAAAACAGCAATGATATCTGCTAGTAAAATAAACCACAAGGTTAGGGAGAAACACTGGATCTTAGCAGCATCTATTGCACTGATAGATGCTCCGAAACTCATTCCACCTGGCTCTGAACATAATGAAGAGCGGAGTCAGCTTAAGCGCAAGCTGACAAGAAGTCTACGCAATGATCGTGAACAGTGGTTGGTAGCGAAAGCAAGAGAGATAGAAAAGGTAGCGGCAATAGGTAATAGCGGACAATTATTCAGACTTGTTAAGGAAACCGACTGTTAGCGAAACAATCTCAGAGAAAGATGGACATATTATTCATTCTCAATCCAGGATAATGGACCGATGAGCAGAACACTTTAAGGATCAGTTCAACTGGCCTTCAGCCACACTTCGGTTTCCCACGATCTCCAGTCAACCTGAATGGCAAGTTAATGTAGGTCCTCCGTCTCTTTACGAAGTTGAAAAAGCTATAGGAAATCTGAAGCGAGGGAGAGCAGCAGGCCCTGACAAGTTTACTCCTGAGATTTTTAAGGATGGTGGTTCAGTATTAGCAGTGAGATTATCTGAGGTCTTAGGTAGAATTTGGGAACTGGACGTAATCTCATCTGACTGGTCTCAATCACTGATTGTGCCAGTCTATAAGAAAGGACAAAAGTCCTCTTGTGACAATCACAAAGGAATCAGTGTGACTAATATAGTGTCTAAAATATTAGCTTCAATAATATTTCGACGCCTAACCAAAGCTCGTGAAGAACAGACTAGAGAAAATCAGGCTGGTTTTCGACCTGGACGTGGTTGTATAGACCAAATATTCACACTACGTCAGGTTCTAGAACACAGACACACGTTTAGACGCCCCACAATCGTAGTATTTCTCGACCTTAAGGTGGCATTCGACTCTGTTGATCGTAAGGTTCTATGGCAGTGTTTGTCACTGAAATGAGTACCGAAGAAGTACATTAACCTTATTCAGGCTCTCTACTCGAACACAACTGGTAGAGTGAGGGATTATGGCGAACTGTCATCAGAATTGATTACCTCAAGTGGTGTTCGTCAGGGCTATCCACTCTCTCCATTCTTGTCCAACTTTGTGGTCGACGTACTTTTAGAGATAACACTCTCCTCATCTAAATTTCCAGGGGTTGAACTTCTACCAGGAGGTTCACTTGTTGACTTAGAATATGCTGATGACATAGTTTTATTTGGTGAAGACGCTGACAAAATGCAGAGTCTTCTGACCACTCTAAGCAACAATGCAAGCATGTTCGGGATGCGATTCTCTCCCTTGAAATGCAAAATGTTCTTTTTAAGGAAATTAAAAGGTTTTCATCGACGCGATTTTTGCGTGAGGACCAGAGATAATAACTGAACACTCGAACATAAGTAGACATAAAAAGGTTCAAACTAGTGACCAGGTGGCTGAAATTCTAGCAGCCGAAAATTGCCCTACATACTAAACAAAACGTAGGCTATTAGTATAAACTTACAAGTGGTAATTATAATCACGTTCCCAATCTGAAACATCATACTCATTTGGCGAGTTAGTAAATAATGGTTTAGCTCTTGATACTAAAGAGGAATCATAAATTCGTCTACTTTTCTCTTGAGAGAGAACAGAGTACGCTTCGTTGATCCTTTTAAACGTCTCAATATCACCGTCATTTTTGTCAGGATGATACTGTATAAATAATAGATTAGAAAAGTAATTATCAGCTTACTTTTTTTGATAGTTCGATAAAAGCTGAGCGAATTTCACTATACGATGCGGATTTTTTAATTCCTAACGTATCATAATGTGTTTGAGATGAAACCAAACGGCGAAATTTATACAAGAATTTGAAACTATTTGTTCGGTAAAGTCCTGTGATCATAGATAACCAGGTTTTACAATCATAGTACGCACAAATTGAATACTAGCTCGACTGAAATGTGAAAATGATGTTTGTTACAAACCAAGACCTGAAGAAAATCATAATTTACATGGAGGAAGTGACCTGTATCTGTCTATCAAATGCGGTCAGTAGAAAGTTGTAAGTTTCGTGGCTGGTGATACTTATTACTGATATGGATCTAATTTATTTATTATTTATTTTAACACATATTGGTACAAGGAGGACGAGTATACTGTGCGGCAGTCCGTTCTGTTTTAATTTACGGCAGCGAAACATGGCCATTAAGAGTAGAAGACACTCGTAAGCTATTAGTATTTGACCACAGATGCCTAAGAAATATTGCTGGCGTCTGCTGGGATAATCGGGTAAGTAATAGTGAGGTTAGACTCAGGGTATTAGGAAAGGATGGTAAATCAGTTGATGAGGTTATGAATCTTCATCGACTGAGATGGTTGGGCCACGTGTTACGTATGCCTGAACACCGATTACCACGACGTGCAATGCTATCCGGTATTGGAAATGGTTGGAAGTAAGTTAGGGGCGGCCAAACCAATACGTGGCATCAGTGCTTGAAGTCACTAACTTCTAGTCTGAGCCATGTTGGTAGATGCAGACTACTTGGTTGGGGTCCGCGTGACTATCGTAACCAATGGTTGGAGACTCTTGGTGACATGGCTCAGAATCGATCACAATGGCGTCGGTGTATACACTCCCTGTCTTCCCTTAAACTAAGAGATTAAAATCGCTTCATATCTTTCTTTCTACGAACCAATGCTTTCTTTTTGTACTATATCTCTATATGCAATCTTTCTCTTATATATTACCACCTTTTACCTAACCACTGTTATGAAATTGGTGTTCATCTTGTTGTGTTGATGCGGTATGGCAAACTGGACCGATGCACATATGTGCCTGGTCTTACGTTGTAGCTGACTGACTGACTGACTGACTGACTGACTGACTGACTGACTGACTGACTGACTGACTGACTGACTGACTGACAAGGAGGCACCAAATACATATGCGCCACACAAATCTTATTTGATATGTGTGAGGGCTGCGATACTGCCCGGGTGCCCAGACTGAAGCAGGTGGTCTTCTTAGGCAGCCACACCCGGAGCCTTCGACCTGAAAGTCTGATCCACAAGGCAGTGGAGCATCGTAAGAAGATGCAGTCCCATGGTAGCCGGTGACCAACGATTGGTTCATACGCCATTTGTTCCTTCAAGATACTGGAGCCCATGAGCACCATTTGTTTACAATCAGGGTTTTCCAACTCCCCTAGGTGGACTCTTCATGTCCTCCAACCCGGTTAAAGCGCCGGACATTCGCTTTTCGTCCTCTCATTTTCGTAAACAACAACCCCGCCGCGAGAAGGCAGTGAGTAGGACTTCCCTGGCAGAGGCTATATACGCGTGGCCATGTGAGAGCATTTCGAGAGGGAGAGCGGACTCTCCCCAATCTCGGCCGTACCAGGGCATTTGGGGGCGATATGGATCTATAGCCTTTAAGAATCAGTGACTCCACAAAAATCTAGATAAGTTACGCAATACTGAAGTTAGACATGTGATCCACTAATGAGCTTATGTATGATCCAACTGAGTGTGACAATCAGACATTAGTACACCGGCACGGCCGAGGGTGGAGAGAGTTGGCTCTCCCTCTCGAAATACTCTCACATGGCCATGCGTATTCAGGCACTATTAGGGAAGCACTACTCACTGCCTTCTCGCGGCAGGGTTGTTTACGAAATTGAAAGGATGAAAAGCGAATATCCAGCGGGAGTTGGAAAACCCTGGTTCTAAACCAATGGTGTACACGGACTCCAGGACCCTGATTGAAATGGTTTATGAATCAATTATGGGTCACCGCCCACCATGGGACTACATCTCCATCACTGTTCCGCTGCCTTGTGGATCAGACCTTTAGGTCGAAGGCTCCGGGAGTGACCCACTAAGAAAACCACCTGCTTCGGTCTAGGCACCTGAGCAGTATCACAGCCTACACAAATCAAATGACTTGTGTGGCACATATGTATTCGGTGCACCTTTGTACCAATATTTATGTGCTCAAATAAGTTAATTAAGTGTGACTGGTTAGTTCGGTGAGTAAACCATGTTCGATTTCAAGAAAGAGCATCACTCCTACTAGATTCCAAGTATAAACTTAATTAATTCTAGTTTACTATCAACAGCTATAAGTAAATTCACTGAAAAAAAGATGGGATATCGTTAGTGAGCTCTTAGTCAAGTCGTCAAACAATTTAATGCTTTAAGGATTTCTAACTTCCGGCGGCGATAATTACGAATCACAACATACATTGTTTAGATATATTTTGTAAACATTGGTTTAGGAAGATCGATTTAATGTTGCCAATAAAATACTAGGTGTACACCCTGAAGTAGAAAGTGTGGGATAAAGTAAATGTTAAAAAAGGAAACCATCTCAGAAATGCAAACATACACATTACACTAAAACTAATATTCGAATATGAATTAATTTTATGTGATCATTATTATTTAATCCATTAAAAATTTTGATTCTGTAAATATAATTACAGATTTACAAAATTTCATGCGGAAATGATGTGATTTTGGTCTTTATAATTCGCAGTCAGGTCTATCAGGGTGATGTCAAACAATATTTTTCAGATTACAGAATAATTCTTTTTAGAAATTTCATGCAATTGGTTCCCTTTATGAATTTAAATAGAGCAAGAACAAACATTGATGCAAAATAGTATGAATTCATAATATTTCGAGATTTCTCATCAGCTGCTTACAACCAAAAATGTGATAGAATTTTTACATTGGGATAGTATGAAACAATTGACATGAGTGTAAGTAACTGGATTACAATAATAACTATATATATATATATATATATATATATATATATATATATGCTAGAACAGGTCAGAGTTTAAAAAAATGGAAGTAATTTTGGGTGGGTGGTGTAATAGTTTGGTGAAGCTCATAAATTGTGTGATAATTTTAGCGATTAATGGGATTGAATAATGATAAGACAGGTCACGTAATAATAAATAAATAGAAGTTGAAAAGTTAAGACAACTTAACCTCGAAATATTATGAATCCATACTATTCTGCATCAATGTTTGTTCTTGCTCTATTTTAGTTCTTTTTAAATATTTCACTTCTGAAAACGTCCACAATGAAATAGCAAAAAATATTTAAGTATTTCGTTGTTAAGACAACGTTAAGCAATATCAGTAATTCGAAAACGTTTAGCTAATGAATATTGAAAACTCCAATTTTGAGATACATTGTCCAAAATCTTGGTGGATTTTACTTCAGTGCTGACTGACTACGTGGCATTCACCTTACATGTGACTTTATAATGATTATTTTTTATTCAGAACGTTTAGGTCTTTGGTGATCACTGGGTACTGCAGCAGATGAGTTATTTTGAAACTGATTTAGAAACATTGAGTAAGCAGTATAGACTACATCTATCTCCCACAAACTTGCACTTACATGTACATAACGTGAGAACTAGGTTTTAAAAAGGCATAAAGAGGATATGCAACAAGAATGTAGTATGCTATTGTTGCAAAGAAATAGGAGTACGAGATCGCATGACTAGTAAATGGAAGAGTAAGGTGTAAAATAAAAAGAAACCGAGTTTTAAAAAATACGACTGAGATACGTCCATTCCGGTTAACAAGGTTTAAAATACACATATAAATAGTACAGTAGAAAAACTACAAAAAAACCTACTGCTGGCTTATATTATGAACCATGTGATGGGGATTTAGTGACCAGAAAAGTGTTATCTACTAAAAAAACCCTCAGTCACACACCCATATTTTATACCTTTTTGGATGGATATCTGGTTCAGGTAAATAGATTGTAGCAGCCAGGTAATATTAACTTTCATTCAAAAGTCATAGCTCAAAGACAAATGCGTAATATTTGGTTTGTTGACTACTATCTATAAAGCTCACAGTAAAAGCTAAAACACTTCAGACTGGTGAAAATCAGCATCATATTAAACAAGCCAAATTAAACAAGCATCAATTTTCCGCCAGTTGACACCCAAAATCACTTTGATGGTGGAGGTTAGCAGCGCAAAGATGCCAGAATAATACACTGTATGTGACTCATTGTTTAACACAACAATCACTAATCTTAAGGTACTTGTGGTGGACCAAACAGATATGAACACAAAAAATATAAACAAAGTTATTAAAAATCAATAGTAATATTAATATATATAATTAATTGTCACAAATACAGTAAAAATTGGGGACGTTACTTAAATTGATCAGACGTCGCGTGTTAGGATTAGGTCCAGTAAAGTAAATCCACAATTATAAATGTTTGTTGATTCTGAACAAGTTGGTGAACTCTCTAATGATATAATCCAACGTTGAATGTGATATATTTCGGTTACAGTCTATAAATGAAGATAGAATTTGATTTAGACTTCGGATATCTCAATCACAAATGGAAATAGAACGATGAGTGTGCGAGAAGCGTTGTATTTGTTAGCTAGCAGCGGTATGGCACGCAATGTAGCAGTACAACGGAAAGTGTGTTCAAGGTCATTTACTAAAACAACAGTTACAGTCATTTAATGTTAAATATACATACAGTGGAAGGTTGACAAAGTAAATACAAATAACATTGAAAACTATTTACAAAATAAGCTTGACAGGTCCATCTCCACATAGCTCCCCCCAGAGTGTCCGGAGGTAACACTGGTTATAATAGAAAAAATGTAAGGGTGTGATATATACATGTATACAAAAATAATATTTACAGTTATAACCAACAAAAATGTGGAGATGAGTATGACGTGTAGTAGAGATGTAGCATAGTATAATGAGCACACACACAAAAAAAAAATGAAGGCACTGTCATTTAATGCCTTGGTTGGCTGACAATGATAATAATAATGTGTAAAAATGCTAAAGAGCCAAAAAAAAAGAACTGTTTATGTTTGTGTAAGATAAATGAATAACTAAACAGAGTTTACTCGTTTATTAGTGTGACAAAAACAAAACAAAATTTTTTTTTTTAAAAAAAAACTGACAAAACGAGTAATTGTGGAAAAATGTGATTATGTACACTGTGAAAAGGAAAAAAAAATTTTTTTGGGTGAAATTAGTAGTGTGTGACATAGAGAGGTGTGTGTTTTGCTTTTTTTTAATCAACGAAATGGACATAACGCTTGGGTTTGTTTATAGGTCTACCGGAGCGTGTTAAACAAGGGGGCTTAGTATTAAGTTTTTTATCCTCCATTGGTTGTTCAGTCGCTGGTGGGAGGGGTTGATTATCAACAGTGTTGTCTTCCTTGACTTGAGTAGCTTCACAGAAAGCAGGTTTTATTCTGTCTATAGAAATAGTCTGCTTGTTGCCATCTCTGTTGACGATGAAGTATTTTTGTGTGCGTTTAATTACTTTATATGGACCTTTATATGGTTGTTTCAATGGTTTTTTAACCGTATCTACTCGGACAAAGACAAATTTGCACGTTTCAAGGTTTTTATCAAGTTGGACTCGATTGTTGTGTTCACGAGGGGGTATTGCTTTAATATTCTGCATAGTTTGTAATAGGCGACTTGCGAAGTGAGTAGTCTCTCCTGGCGTTGTAGGTTCATAGTTGACTAGTTGGCCAGGTAACGTTAGAGTTGTACCATAGACTAACTCGGCGGCTGTACATCCAATGTCTTCCTTTATGGTTGAACGAATACCGAGGAGTACAAGTGGTAATGCGTCACTCCATTTGGTTGTATCATCTTGGGCCATCAGCGAGCTTTTTAATTGGCGATGAAATCTTTCAACCATGCCATTAGCTGCTGGGTGGTAAGCTGTTGTTTTGATGTGGTTCACGCCCAGAAGTCTTGTAAATTCCTGAAACAAGATAGACTGAAACTGGGGACCACGGTCTGTAGTGACGATAGAAGGTACTCCGTAATTTGCTATCCAACGCTCAAGGAAAACGCCAGCTATCGTTTCTGCGGAAGTGTCTTTTATGGGGCAGGCTATGGCCCATCTTGTAAATCTGTCTACTGCGGTGAGAATGTGGGTAAAGGAATTGGACGGGGGCAGTGGCCCAACTAAATCCAAATGAATATGTTGAAAACGTTTGTCGGGAATAGGAAATTCGCCGATCGGGCTGATAGTATGTTTTTGTATTTTGCTGCGTTGACACTGGAGGCAGCTACGTGTCCAACGCTTAACGTCCGAGTTGATTTTCGGCCACACAAAACGTTCAGTGATGAGCCTTGTTGTTGCTCTGATGCCTGGATGTGAAAGACCGTGTAAGTGCTGAAATATTTTTCGTCTGCAGGCATGTGGGACAAACGGACGATTGCTGCCTGTTGAGGTGTCACACATGATGAATGCATCTGAAAGCGGAATTGGTACAGGTTTGAGGTTTAAGCTAGACTTTTCTTTGCAGACTTTCAACTCTGCATCGTCTACTTGAAGTTTAGCCAAAGTTTCAAGGCTGATGTCATGATTGCGTACCATCATATTGATATCTCTCCTAGACAGTGCATCAGCGACAATGTTTGAGTGACCGTTGATAAACCGGATGTCTGTAGTGAATTGGGAGATGTAATCCAATTGTCTTGCTTCTCGTGGCGAGTGTTTGTCATACGATGTGCCAAAAGAATGGCAAAGGGGTTTATGATCCGTCATAATGATGAAATCGCGACCCTGTAACAGAAAACTGAAATGTTTTACCGCTAAATACATAGCCAAGAGTTCGCGTCCAAAAGTGCTATAACGTTCTTGTGTTGGTGATAATCTCTTGGAGAAAAAGGCGATTGGGGTAATCGAGTTGTTTACTCGCTGTTGTAATACCGCCCCGACGGCTTTTTGTGAAGCGTCTGTGCATAGGATCAACTGTGTTGTGGGGTCAGTATTTAGATGTTGAAGCATGGTAGCATTAGCAATCATGGATTTAGCTTTTTCGAATGCTACTTTAGCATCAGAAGGTAACTTAAATATTTGGTTTTTTTCTTTCTTGGTACCTGATTTATCATTTTTCAGTAAATCTGTCAATGGCTGTAGTACATCGGCGCAATTTGGTAGAAATCGACGATAAAAATTGCATGTTCCCAGAAAACGACGTAGTGATTTTACTGAGGTTGGTTCTGGGTAGCTGGAGATGGCTTTGACTTTTTCTTCAAGCGGTTTAATTCCTTGGGAATCAATATGGTGTCCTAGGTATTCCAGAGATGAGGCTCCAAATATGCACTTCGAAGGGTTGATTACAACACCATAACTTTTGAAACGTTCAAAAAGCGTGTGTAAATGCTGGACATGTTCTTCAGTGGAAGAACTAGCGATTAAAACGTCGTCGATATAGACAAATACAAATTCCAAACCTCTAGTTACTTCATCCATATATCTCTGAAAGGTTTGAGCGGCGTTTTTTAGTCCGAAAGGCATCCTCAAAAATTCAAACAAGCCAAAAGGTGTAATTACAGCTGTTTTTTCGATATCTTCAGGCGCCATCGGTATTTGATGGTATGCTCGGACTAGATCTAACTTTGAAAAAATCTGTTTTCCATGTAAATTTAAAGAAAAATCATGTAAATGAGGGATTGGATACCTGTCTGGGATAGTCTGGTTATTTAGTCGGCGATAATCTCCACATGGGCGCCAGTCTTGATCTTTCTTGGGAACCATATGCAACGGCGAGGCCCAAGGACTGTTAGATTGTCTGATTATCCCAAGCTGCATCATGTGTTCGAATTCTCTCTTAGCGAACTGCAACTTGTTTGGTGGGAGTCTTCGCGCCCTAGCACGAATGGGTGGTCCTGTAGTAGAGATATTGTGTTGAACATGATGTGTGGAGCATTCGTTTTGGTAATCAGTTCTGGTTATACTTTCGTACTTCGACAGGATATCAGTGAAAATTTTGTTTTCAGGTCTTAACATTCGAACGCCATGAATTTCGTAATTCGAGGCAGGAGTGCCACTGACCTGCAAACTTGTGTTCTTGTCAATAAGTTTCTTTTTCCCCATGTCTACCAATAGGCTGTAAGCACCAAGAAAGTCGGCCCCGAGAATGGGTTGTTTAATTTCAGCTACGATGAAAACCCATGTGAAACGTCTACGGAGACCAAAATCTAAGATGAGCGATTGTTCACCATAAGTTTTAATGACTGTGTTATTAGCAGCGACTAGAGACAATTTAGTACTTTGCGAGTGCCGTCGTTGAGAAAGGTGTAATGGGACTATGCTGATTTCGGCTCCTGTATCGACCAAAAAATCTGAGCCCGAAATCCGATCCCTGACGTGAAATAGACGGCTCGGGTAGTGGCCAGAAACAGGCGCCGCCATCACTGTCTGGCCGTCTCGTTTCCCTGGTCCTTTGAGTTGCTTATTTTAAAGTTGCATGGTTTAGTGCAACGGCGTGCCTTCTCCCCGAAAGTCGCGTGATACCAGCAAGTATCTGATGTCCGTTTGGGTGACCTAAGACGAGGTCTGGATACTGATCTCCTTCTGGACCTAGATCTGGCAGGTCGAGAATGTATGGTAGAAATAGTCGCTTGTAGTGCTGCTAGCTGTTGTGTTAACTGTGTTATTTGTTGTTGGATGCTGTTAGATGGGCTAATCGTGTCTCCACTAGAGGTCTGTAGTACATTCAAACGTTGGCTGTCGGGATAAATCTCCATCATTTTGTCAGCCATATCAGCTAGATCGTCGAGATTGACGGAAGTTCCTGATATGCTGAGAATTTGGGTGACATTCTGTGGTAAACGTTGAAACCACATCTGTTTAAGCAATGCATCGTCTACCTTATATGGCCCTGCTAAGTGTTTCATATGTCGGAGTAATTGCGAGGGTCTCTTGTCCCCCAATTCGCAAGAAGTTAGCAATTGCTGCAGTCTTCTCTCATCTGAAACCGAGGTGCGTTGGATTACGGCTGTCTTTAATTTATCATAAGGTTCAGCTTCTGGCACGTGATCGATTAAATCTCCGACTTCCGCAGCAATCTCGATAGGGAGTGCCCCAACTACATAAGCATACTTTGTTGCCTGAGATTTTATACCTCTAGCCATGAACAAAGCTTCGATTTGTGCAAACCAGATTCTTGGATTATTAACGCCGAACGTTGGTAGTCTTAAGTCTAAAATTGCGTTGATCGAGGTTAAGGCATTATCTTCTGACTGTGAAGAGTTAAAGGAGTTGATCAGTGGACTATCTATATCAATGAGTTTACCAGGAGAGTTCATGATGGCAAAAACAAATATAAATGAACTAGCGTGCCAAGTAATAAAAAAAATGAATATATATATAAACAGTAAACGTCTATAATGAATTCAAGGCTCACCAAATAATTGTGGTGGACCAAACAGATATGAACACAAAAAATATAAACAAAGTTATTAAAAATCAATAGTAATATTAATATATATAATTAATTGTCACAAATACAGTAAAAATTGGGGACGTTACTTAAATTGATCAGACGTCGCGTGTTAGGATTAGGTCCAGTAAAGTAAATCCACAATTATAAATGTTTGTTGATTCTGAACAAGTTGGTGAACTCTCTAATGATATAATCCAACGTTGAATGTGATATATTTCGGTTACAGTCTATAAATGAAGATAGAATTTGATTTAGACTTCGGATATCTCAATCACAAATGGAAATAGAACGATGAGTGTGCGAGAAGCGTTGTATTTGTTAGCTAGCAGCGGTATGGCACGCAATGTAGCAGTACAACGGAAAGTGTGTTCAAGGTCATTTACTAAAACAACAGTTACAGTCATTTAATGTTAAATATACATACAGTGGAAGGTTGACAAAGTAAATACAAATAACATTGAAAACTATTTACAAAATAAGCTTGACAGGTCCATCTCCACATACTCTTTGGAGTTATACGACTATAAACGTAAATGTTAACCTGTGATAGCGTAGGACGAGTCGTAAAATATCCAGAAATCTTGTTAGATATCTAGAAGCACTGATAACATATCATGATGTAGATAATTTCAATGTAACTTTTAACGTATTATTTTCATCCAAGGACAATGTATTTTCACAAGCTGTGCTCAATTCAAGAGTAATAAGAAATATATGCATGTTTGTTTGATATTTCATAAACCGAAAGTCAACAAGTTAACGTTGCCGTATCTATTTAGATAAGAATGTCTATTAATCCCTTAAGAACTTACTCTAGAAATGACACGACTACCCGACCTTCAATTCAAACGGAAGGTAACAAAGTAATTAAATATACAATTGAGAAGTCCAATCATTAGATTCACATATGTGTTTTGAGGACTGAAGTCGAGCGCAACACTGTTTTGTGTAAATGGTTCCAAGAATTGACGGACCGGTGTGAAAACCTGTATGTTGCGTATATTTTGTTCGTTCTTGGATTTTCTACTCACCTGCTATGTCCCTTGAGATGTCCCACTATAGTGGGTAGAGAAAAAGAGGATATATCCAGTCCAAAATCGTTTGTTGATGCTCAAAAAATCAATTAATATGTTTCCCATTTAAACGAGTCGTCTATTTTTGGCACATTATTAGATGCTTTGCTCAAGCTTACACAACAACATTCACGGATTTTCAATTGCTTAAGGCCTCTATTCATTCCTCCCTTACTATAAGGATGTTTGTCGTGCCAGATAAACGGCATTATGATTATTCTTTTCAGTATTTTAACTACAACACTGATGAGGTTGACAGGTCTGCAGTTTGATGGAGTTGCTTTTGTCCCGTTTTATGTATTGGAGTGATGAATGCATCCTTCCAGTCCGTAGGTGACAAATCATGGTCAAGTTACATATTGAATATAAAAGTTAGTGAGGCTACAATTTGTCTCAGGATTTCGGAGTGTAGTTCTTTCGATCTTGTTGACTTTTTCGTGACTAAAATGCCAAGGTTCTTTAATACGTCGTCTCGAGCAAAGTCTACAGTGAGCAGGCGGTTTGTTGATTTCGTATTTTGGTCTAGGTCTTCGTGTAAAGGGGCTCCTGAGTGAAAACTGCCCAAAATAGTTTTCAAACACCTGTGCTATTTCCTAATCATCTTCTATCATTTCAGAATTGCTCTGTCATTATTTAGGTGGTGTATCCAGTGCGGCATCCTTGTTCTGTAATTTATGTACGAGAATAGTCTTGTAGTGTGGTGTCGAGTCGGGATTAACTGTGAACACCGCTACCAAGAAGCTCGTTCCAAATGACTCCATAAAAACACCGAGAAGCCAAATATCAGAAGGCAGAAAATGGACCAAGTCAAAATTTATTCACTGGAGATCTCGTGGTATCGAAAAGATACCGAGATCATGCCAGGATACTAGCTTGGTTACAGAAGGTAACCGAATGCGCGCAAAATTACAATCGAAATGTAAGAACAAGAATGGAAGCCTAATATAGCTGTCATTAGCACAGTCAAACAAAAGCACATTAAAACAAACACTGCTAAAACTGTTTATGATAATAAATCTTTTTATTGAACCAGTCGTGTTCTCGTAATAAACGTGAGTCACTACAGTCTCTTTGGGTTGCTAGATTACAGTTTGTAACGAGTGCATTTTATGTTTTACTTCCCGGAATTCAATCATACACTTATTTCTTACTGACCTGTAGTGTTTCATAGTACGTGCTGTGTAAAACCTGATGAAAACTTCACAACATTTATTCTTCTGTTTTTGTGAGTTTATCTAAGAATTACCCTCTTCTTCCTCTTCGGAACTGACCAGGGTATAAATGGTTGAGTTAACCAATAATGTAACTGTCTGAAATTAGTTCATGTTTATTATACTGACGGCCCCGAGACAATTAACCAGTTTGCAGCCTAGACTGCAGAGTTCATCGCCTCCATGTCATTATTTAGCTTGTGAATCCAGGGTTGCACAATTGTTCTGTAATTTATATACGGAAAAAGTCTAATTACAAGAATAAACATAAAGTTCATCAACACTAAGTTCATTTTACTCCTTTCATATAAGCTATCGATTGCTAAATTTAGCTTTATTATGACAAATTTTATGCTGTTTCTCAGTCTACTTACAATACTAGTATTTCACTATTGCAACGATAACACTGGCAATACTAAGTGAAGCAAAATACAGATCTATAGCAATTGTACATTACGCAAATTTGTACCGACGTAAAATCATTACTCATTCATTCTGTAAGACTACCGTTTATTTATTTGAAAAGCCGATTAATTTGTATTTTAGCTGTTGGTGTTTCACTAGTTATCAGTTAAAAAAGGTTACCTCACATAAATAATGAAGGACAGTAATTTAGTAAACAAAATAACACTCATAACGTAGAATTTCCAAACGGAAATCTGCTTATGAACAGAGAAGTATCCCACAAAGTACAATTCTTAATATAAGATTTCTTAATGAGATTCCCATGTGCTCACAAGTGACTAGCTGTGACCAGTGGAGCTAGGCCGTGTCAAGTAGAGACTGGTATCTACCTCAGTATAATGGAAAATAGTAGCGCGATTTCGTGGATTGGTTGAGGTTAGACGTTAACACCGTTGGGTGCCGGCTCAGTGGTCTAGAGATTAGGCGTTCGCGCGCGAAACCGAAGGCCCTGGGTTCGAATCCAGCGAGCGGGACTGTGGATGCGCACTGTTGAAGAGTCCGATAATAGGACGAATCGGCCGTCCAGCGCTTCCAGGTTTTCAATGGTGATCTTGTAGAACTTATGGTCTACTATGATATTAGTACTGCTCTAATAATAGACCTAATCCTAAATTTGTAGATTTGTCATGATATGACTGCCTAATCTATAAGATCTTACGTGGAAGTTAAACCATCGACTACACCAACTCACTGTATCGTATCAATTACCAATACATGATGTAGAACAAGGTTAGGCTAGAGAAAGAACAATATATTTAATATGAAAAGAAGATATAAGGTAACATTCAGCAGAGACCACGCCTGCATGGCCGAGCCATGCCGTTCGATCAACTCTAGTCTATTCAATTCATTATTCGCGCCTTCTCCATCGTTAGGTATTTCTTCGCGTTAAATATTGAATACCTATTTTCCGAGTAATCTCGTATTCAGCTTTGAGGATGGTGTGGTTATGGTCCAATGCCACTACACTACTCTCCCACCAGAATCAACGTGGTGTTGGTTCGATACCCAATTGAATGGGACTGTAGTGTGCCGAAGGTTACCAAGAATAGTAAGAATCCTCCGGGTGATGACAAGCTGAAAGATAAATCAAAAAGAAGACGGCAGCATCTGGTCGGGAAATACATGTAATAATTTTAAAATATCTGCCTTCATGCTTAACACGCTTACAATGAAAATTTGAGTGATTATTTGAGCTATAAAAAAATGGGATTACAATAATAATAATAGTAATAATAAAACGATGCGTGTGTAATAGCCGTTGGTTGATAACTTAACGTATAGGTAGTAAGTATTTTGTGTTTAGAAATATTAAAGTTATGAATATTGTAGAAATGTTAATATTAGTACTACTTTTAGTCTAACTTATGAAATCAAATAACGATTATGCCGGTAAGTTGTCCATATGAGTCGATTTCCAATTGCATCTGTATTAGTAGGCTAACTGAAGGAACAAAAGTATTACCGTGGAGAAGAATTCCAACTAGTGTTCCAGTTAGTTTGATACGGTTTGTTTAGTTACGGGGAGATTTTCTCAACCTCATTTTTACTTGACCGTGATAGAATTTATTAATACTACTAATACACATGAATGGTTATCAAAACAAAATTTAAATACGTGAGTGATAATTATGTGAATTTTGGACAGATAGCTAGAAACAAATCGTTAAACATGAGTGTATTCGTAAGAGAAATGCTCTAGACTCAATGTTCTGAGTTGCCATAGACTATTTATACCTGACGGCTGATGATGCATACAAGTTAGTTGCAAGTATGCAGTTTATCATAAGGCGGAATACGATTTAATTGAGATATAGTGGTTATACGTTATTGAAATCAGATAGGCTGATGTGTCATATTACTAAGTGATGTGGTGCTGCAAGATGTATTTGGCTAAATAAGTTTTTACAAGATGATTAACAGTGAGTGATGCTCATGTGATTATCAGGGAGAACATAAGTTGTAACCAAGGGGAGTACACTCCCAACTCATGCCTATGATAATAGCTTGAACCTTAGTCAGTGTTGGGGTAAATTCGACATTGATGTTTTCAGTTTGCAGGATATTTGCTCGACTGCTTATACTGATTATTTGCATGCATGATTGTGTCGCTA